GAGAGAGAGAGAGAGAGAGAGAGAGAGAGAGAGAGAGAGAGAGGGAGAGAGAGAGAGCGAGAGAGAGAGAGAGACAGAACGAGAGAGATAGAGAGAGGGAAATAGGGAAAATGCTGCTATACTGAGCAGTGGCGATAAACGCAAAAGAGCAAAAGAAACATTATCATGTTATGGAAAGAGTTATCGAGAACAAAGTAGAACAAAAATTATTTAATCAAGTAAACAGAAATGACCAAGCCAGCAGTCGACAGGAGGAATCCTTCACGAACGAGATTGGGATTGAGAAGGAGTACAGCCTGGTGAAGGCAGGAGGAGCAGCTTGCGTGACCCCATCAGACGCAACAACAACCAGCTAATGATACAGAGAATTAGCCTGCAATGAAATGGACCCTTATGAAGAAGGTCGAGGAAGCATGGAGCACCCCATCTTCCTAGGGCCCCAGTTCTACTTTCAAGATTCCAAGTTCAAGATATAAGGTGGTTTAGACATATTATAAAAATATGGCCATAAGAGCCGGGCCCAAATGCCTAAACGAAATTGCGATTCCGTGGCCCCAAGGCAGGGCAAGGCCAATGAAAAATGTACTTATGGAGTCGAAGAAAATGTACAAAGAAACAACTTAGTAGATAAGGTCTGTGGGCCGTAGTTGACTCATTTCCAGATTTAGCCGATAACATGTTCAGGCACAGAAAGTAGATCTGGAACTATTTTATTCCGTGAAAATTCATTGCCTAGGTCAATTCTTGTTGTTTTAATAGATCTATTGCGTAATTCTTTGTTTTGTTCAGTAGTAAATCTAGATAGTGTTCAACAGTCAGGACTTTTCAGGAAGTGAGATAATTGCACGCCAAATTTTAACTTCTCTTGAGGTCCGCGCAAAACGGTTATATAAAGGCCAAAGAAAGTGCTTGAGAGCCGATGGCTGGTGCCTCAATAAATAAATCATTGATGGTTGCCTGAGAGCCGAATTTCCTGACTTCTCATGTCTACAGAACAACGTGCAGGTAAAAAAGGAAAGGTAGGCCTAAGTCTAAAGAGCCTTCTGGACAAAGGAGAAAGGTGGCCTAGAGACAACAGCCCAAAAAGGGTGAGAGACCTTTTGGGGACTAAGGGCGACAGCCTAAAGAGGCTATAGCCCAAACGGTCAACAGCTGAAAGAGGCAACAGTATAAAAGGGCAACATCCCAAAGGGGCAACAACCCAAAGAGGCCACAGTAAAAAGGGGGCAAAAGCCCAAAGGGGCGACAGCCCAAACGGTCAACAGCCTAAAGAGGTGAACATCAAAGGGCGACAGCACTTCTGAGTGCGAGGTCCACCAACCCAAAGGGGCAACAGCCTTCCCAGGGGTGACAGCCCAAAGGGTCAACAGCCCTTCTGAGAGCTAGGGACAACAACCCATAGCTTTCGGAGGGCAAGGGGCTACAGCAAAAAGGGACAAAGGCCCAAAAAGGATTCTGAGGTCTTTAAGCGACAGCCCCTTTGATGGAGAGGAGCGACAACCCAATGGGGCAACAGCACTTTTGAGGGCTAGGAGCAACAGCCCTCCTGAGGGTTAGCTAGTGTTGCCAGCACTTCTTAGGGTGACAGCTCAAGGGACTGTTTCCCCTTTGGGCTGTGGTTCTGTCGGCCATCGCTCCTTTGGGCTCTTGCCCCTTTGAGCTGTCACCCCTTTGGGTTTCGCCACTTTGGGCTGTGGTCCCTTTGGGCTATCCTCCCTTTCAGCTGTGGTTAATTTGGGCCGTCGACCCTTCCAGCTGTTCCTTAAGATAGGGCTGTTGCTCCTTCCGCAGTTGCTCCTTTGTGCTGTGGTCCCTTTGGGCTGTCGCCCCTTCTAGCTGTCGCCTCTTTTGGCTTTCGCCCCAAGCCCCCTTTCCCCCCTCTCCAATTGACTGTCCCCCCTATGGGCTATTTCCTCTCTGGGCTACCGGCCGTTTCAGCTGTTGTCCATTTCGCCTGTCGCCATTTCCGGCTGTCGCCTTTTTGGGCTTTCGCTCCTAGCCTCAGATGCTATCACCCCTTACGGCTTTTGCCCCTCTGGGTTGTCACCCCTTTGGGCACTCGCCTGTTCTAGCTGTTGTCTTCAGAGGTGCTGTTGCCCCTTCTGGCTGTTGTGGCCCTTTTAGGTATCGTCCTTTTGGCCTGTCGCCTCTTTCGGCTGTGGTCTCTTTGGGCTGTCGCCCCTTTGGGCTGTCCGCTCTTCTAGCTGCCGCCTCTTTTGGCTTTCGCCTCAAGTCCTCAGAAGGGCTATCACCCCTTGGGGCTCTTGCCCCTTTGGGTTGTCACCCCTTTGGGCTATCGCCCGTTCCAGCTGTTGCCTTCAGAGGGGCTGTTGCCCCTTTGGGCTGTCGCCCTCCCAGCTGTCGCCTCTTTGGGGTTTCGCCCTGAGCCCCCAGAAGGGCTGTCGCCCCTTCTAGCTGTTGCCCATTTGGGATGTCGTCACTTTGGGCTTTCACCCCTTGGCCCGCTTTGGGCTGTTGCCCCTTTTTGCTGTCTCCCTTAACCCTCAGAAGGGCTGTTCACCACTCGTCTGTAGCCTCTCTGGGCAGTCGCCCCTTGCCCCTATGGGCTAACGCCTCTCTGGGCTGTCTCCTCTTTAGGCTGTCTCCTCTCTGGGCTTTCGTCCTTAGCCCTTAGAAGGGCTGTCACCCCTTCCGGCTGTTGCCACTTTGGGCTATGGTCCTTTTAGCTATCTCCCCTCTGGCTCCTACTCCTACCCCTTTGGGTTGTGGTTCCTTCGGGCTGTCGCCCCTTCCATCTGTCGCATCTTTGGGCTTTCGGTCCTAGCCCCCCGAAAGGCTGCTGTCCCTTTGGCTGTTGTCCCTAGCCCTTTTTTTAACCTACTTTTTCTCTTGTTAACCCTCTAGAGGGCCTTTATACTTACCTTTTTTTACTTGCACGTTGTTTTGTAGACACAAGATTCGCTGACGGTTTTGGGAAGTCAGGAAAGTCGGCTCATAGGAGTTTTCTTTGGCTATTATATAACTGTTTTACACGGACCTCCGATAAAGTTAACATTTGGTGCGCAAAAGTATGTCACTTCTTGAAAACTCTGAACACTTGAGCACCATCTAGATCTACTCCTGAACAAAACAAATCGAACATCGAACACAATAAACCAATTAGGCCTAAAACACACACACACACAATAAGATAATGAATCTGCACAGATTATAGCACTTTGGTCGCCCAAAATTGTTATCGCCTACATTAGACGTTATGGAGGGTAAACTACGGTCCACTGATCAGAGTCACCCAGTGATTATTAATGAAAGCCGCCCCCTGAGAGTTTATACTTTATTATTATGTTAGTTTTGCTCTACAAGAGTTTAGTGAGGCCTTTATTAGAGAATGCACACTGTGTTTGGCAACCTAGATCTATGTAGTGAAATCGAACAAGTTCAAAGGCGGGTTACCAAAATGCTGAGTCACCTCAAAGAAAAGCCTTATTCTGAAAAACTGAAAAAGCTAAAGCTTCCATCCCTGGAACATCGTAGGTTACGTGGTGATATGATAGAAACGTACAAGTGTATCAAAGGCTACTAGATCTACATTACTGAAAGACCAGCGTTTACAAAGGCAACAACCACACAACTCCGCGGCAACTCAGAGAAGCTCCAGAAGCAAGGAAGCAGATTGTGTGTGAGGGCAAATTTTCTTGAGAATAGGGTTAATGCTATTTGGAACAATCTTCCCGAATCATTGGTGTCAGCTCCAAACGTGGACACATTTAAGAGACGTCTGGACGAATACTGGAAAGACCTCCCAACTATTCACAACCCCATCTGCCAAAACTGATTTGTCTAGCCTGCACGCAATGCAATATTGTCGTTCATTACCAGATAGTTGAACAGGCTCTACTTAGAGCCTCAAACAACTAAATCGTCAATGTCAATGTCAATATTTTTTTTTTCTGTCCCCGTCGTGGGGAGATCTAAATTTCTCTTTCGTTGATACCTACATCTCTCTTTGAATTGATCATTTGCAAATTTTTCTCTTTGGTGAAAATGACTTTAGGATCGACTCTTTTGAATATATTCATCGAACGGGTACCCAGCTAGATCTAGTTATTAATGAATGCAGCTCGCTGTGAGTTTATATAATATACTTTACTTATTTTACTGTTTCTGTCCCCGTTGTGGGGAGATGAAATTGTCGACGGAAGGCCAGCTGTGTTGCTGTTTAGATCGTCATGTTGTTTCTTTGTACGTTCTCTTTGACTCCATGAATACATATTTTCATTGGCCTTTCCCTGCCGTAAAGCCATCGGTTAGCAAGTGTTAGGTCTTTGGGCCTGGCTGTTATTGCATATTTTCTTAACATGTCCATACCACCTTTTGTGTTGTCTCTAAATATATTTCATGAGCAATTAGAAGCTCATTTTCTTTGTCTGTTCGTTTTCGTGATTCTTGATGTTTTTTTTTTTATCTGACACCGCACTTTCAAATTTTGTTATTTTACTTTACGGCACTTTGTTGGGGTTCCAGATTCGGCACTTGTAGCTAAGCTAGTACGAAGATTGATTGACCTCATAGGGCTGCTGATTATTAATAGAAACAAATTTGCCCGTTTTGAAAATTAGAATAATTGT